AGGACGAACCTGGATAAGAGACATAGGGCTAAAGAGAGAGCCAAAAAAGGATCTTTCGTGTATAATCCTGCATAATCTCGAACTCCCGGAACTTTTTCGTAGTGGCTCCCTTCCATGCCTCATTTCATAGGGGCAAATCCAAAGAAGGTTTTCCTGTACGTTCATCACAAAATATTAGCCTCTTTCGGAATATTTATAGCATTTTTTTTATATAAACCTGTTTATTCATCTTTTCAAAATTTGGACTTAATTAATTCATTTGTTAAAATGGGTCCTAAGAGAATTAAACTCTACTGCGGTGACGATACTGTAAGGGAGGTCCTGCGGAAAAATAGCTCACCACGATTTTTTATTTTTTCTAGGCATTTCTCTTCGAAATACGAAATTGTAGCGGAGGTGATGGAGGAGGTTGTTGTAGTAGAAGAGAGTTATAGCTGATCAATGACAGTAGTGGTGGTGGCAATGGACGATAGTGGTCAGTGGTCAACTGTGGTAGAGGTGGCAATAGACGATGGTGGACGGTAGTTGTAGAGGTGGTGGAGGATGTTATTGTAGTGGAAGAGGAGGTGGAGGTGGAGGTGGTCGACTATGACCGCCAGTGATGGCGGCCGCCGAAACTAGCGGTGATGACATTAAAACAAATACCATATTAATGTTACATATCAAATCAGGGTAGATTAGTAATATTTTAGTTCATGTCTCATTTTTGTCTCATCTTATTCCACTTATTTTGGTGGAACAAGAAAAAAGTTTATTTTGTCTCATGTTATCCCACCTTGTCCTAGTTCTTATCCATGTCTCATGTCGCATCAAACGTGGGACATTGAGTTCTTGTTATGTCCCATGTTACGCCAAACATGGGATAATGAATTCTATCCCGCCCCATACACCAAACGCAGCCCAAATGTAATAACCCCTAAAGAAGCTAGAGCAAGCCCGCTTTGAAATCAACGAATGAACTTTTCTTATTTCTTTTTTTGAGTAGGCATTTTGCCTGGAGGAAAAGCTACATCTACTTCCATACCAATGATTTATCCTTTTTGTAGTGACGGATCATGTATGTGTTCCTATACATGTATCATAAATCTTTAATGAATGCGACATTGGATCTGGAGATCTCATTTCCGCACCAACTCAAGATATGCTTAGTAGACATATTATTATGAATTGCGCGGCCTGTACTATCAACTACCGATTGGTTGAAATAATGCACGTATTTAATTTATTTGGAGCTATTAGGACGGATCCACTTTTTGGGTTACATTCTCATATATTATTTATTTTAGTAATAGTTTTTTAGTTATATTCAATATATTATATGTTTAAATATAAAAATAAAAAAGTAAATAGTTTCATTTATTATTCAACATGCTCATTTTACCTTTTATTTATTTATTAGAAATGACATGGTATACAAATACGTTTTAAACATCATAGATTAAGATCCCGTCTGGGTTGAAGGAATAAAATGGATTTGAGGGGATTTGTATTTCAAATCCATTCCAATTTCATGTTTAGTTTGTTGGATTGTCTGAAATTGTAATCATTCAAACATAGGATTTTGAAATCGTTAGGTCCCGTTTGGTTTGAAGGAATGAAATTGATTTGAGGGGATTTGTATTTCAAATCTATTCCAATCTCATGTTTGTTTTGTTGGATTGTCCGAATTTAAAATCTTAAGATTTAATTGAAATCCTTCAAACATAGGATTTTGAAATCATTAGGGAATGCTCGGGATTTCGTAGGACTATATGCAATAAGGTTTTAAAAAAATGTTAAAAACATTTGTTTTGTAATAATTGATTAATAAAAATGTAATTCAATTATTTTTATAATTATATATAACTTTTTCCATAAATTATTTATAAATAGTGAAATCCAATTTCATTCCAAATTCTACAAATCAAACACACCAATGATTTCAAATTCATTACAATCCAAATCCCTCCATGAAATTCAAATCCTTAAAAAACAATCCTACAAATCAAACGAAGCCTAAATATATAATTTATAGAAAAAACAAGTACTAAATTATGCAATAACATAATTTTATAGAGTAGAAGTCAAAATTGCCGTATTATATTTTCATCGATAATAAATACTAAAATTGAATGTTTAGAAAAATAAAATTAATATTTTATTAAATATATGAAATATTTCAATAATATAATGTAATCTCCAAAATGAAAAGCTATTAAATTTTAATGTATTTAAATTTTGATTTTTTTTTCTCTCTAAAATATCTAATGAAGATGCCCGGAAATAAACGATGCAAGGCTAAACACGTCTCTTTCAAAATGATAGGAAAAGGTTTGTTGAAAAGACTACGCAATCATGATTTGATGTCTTTATGATTAAGATTAGGATTAAGGTTTGGCCCTCCGAGAACGACTTCATTTAAGACGACAAAACTCACCTCCTTCCTTCATAAGTAAACTTATACGCTTTTTAAATATAATTCTTATGGGTAAAATAGATCGTTTTGAATATCGATCACAATAGACTCAAGTTAAAACGAGTTTGTGAGTTTTTACTTCTTTTTTTTTATTAACCTGGATATCCAACTCGCTATGTGAGCCGACTAGGGCGATCATCTGCTTTGCAGATAGTTCGGAGTCACCGCATTTGAACTTCCGTGGTCACAGGGGGATTTTTATTTCTCCTTGGTTTTTACTTTAATTGTATAGACAATAAATGTATTATATATTGTATAAACTACATATTTAAAATAATAATTTAATTTAGTTATTTTTTATTTTATACTCAATTTAGAATAAGTATAACGTGGGTTGGGTTCATATGAGACCAAAAGTTTTTCCTGAAACCCGTAAGACCAATTTATGTTCATTGATCAACTTTATAAGCTAATGATCTAACGGTCTAAAGTTGCACGGTGGTAATTTTGTGATTATTGAGAAGTCTCGTAGCAATTTTGTGATTATAAATGTTCATATTGTAGATCTAATCCAAAGGTTGAGAATTGGTCTTACGGGTCTAACGAAAAATCATTGGTCTCACATGATCCCAAGTCATTATAAAGTTTTGTAGTTAAAATCTTATTTTACTTCTACTATTTGATAAAATATTTATTTAATATATATAAAAACTACTCCTTTTGTTCTAAATTAAGTGTCTGTATTTTAATTTTTATTTATTTTAAAATAAGTTTCCATTTTTAAAAATAGGTTTTCTCTGTCATCAATGGTAAAGTGTTATTTATTATTTAAAAAATGTAATAATTACACATTTTCAAAACTATGTATCATTTTTATTGTAAACATTTATTATGAGACAATGAAATATTGATCAGCAATCGTACAAATATAAACTTTGTGTTTATTCTAGTTTCAGAAACAAACTTTTTCATCATCTTCTTTGAATATTTTTATTATAATAAGTGTCCTATAGAGACTGTCTACCTGAGACTGTTCCTTGACCCGTACATTCTGACACAAAGTTAGAAAAAATGGTCTATTTATATATAACTAAAAGGGTGTTTGTGCAATGCAGCGAAATACATTTTGATTTTAATGTTTTGTTTTATTTTGTCCTCTGTCGATGTTATAATATTGTTTTATGTGGTTTTGAGAAAAACGATAATGTTTTTATTTTTGAATAAAATATAAATTTGAAGATATCTTAATTTTTTTTTTAAACATATATATATATATATATATATATATTAGTATCAAATTAATTATTTAAAAGTTCTTGTTTTGTTGTGTAATTTCTTTAATTCATTTTTTTCTATTATAATTTAATTTAAGTTTAATAACGAAATAACTTTTTTTGATTTAATAATATAATTTTTTATAAAGGTAATAATTAAGTATAGTGTTATAACACAGTGATTATCCTAATTATATTTGATTATGTTTATTTGCAATTAGTTATACGAATTCAAATATAGAGTTTTAATAAGTTGTACTTATGCATTATTACATAGAGCTTTAGTAAGTTGTACTTATACATAGTTTACTTATAATCTTGAATTTTAAGTAATATACATCAATAAACAGTACTTTATATATAAAAAATGGTTTTTAAGAGTTTTTGTCAAATGCTTTATGATATAATATAGATAATTGAATTGTAGCGGGTACAGTTGTTAAGAGTGTTTTATTGTATAATTACGTTTTTAATTATTATTATGATTAGATAATTGATTTGAATTTTTTAAAATTACATTTGAAGTTAAACATTGGATGAATGCTATCCATTATTATTTGTAAAATTTTTATATAAAAGTTTAAATAAACCATATATGAATTTATTTTTACTGTGTAGAAGTCTAAATAATTGTTTATTTTGCAATGAAACCCTCGGATTTTGGCTTAGGGGTCGTTTACTTAAATGCTTACCCGGTAAGCATTTACCGTTAAGAGTTAACACTATAATTTATTTTATTGGGTAAAATTGTAGTACATTAAAATGGTAGCGTATGCAACAATTTACCCGGTAAGAGTCGTCACCTTCACTTACCAAGTAAAACTCTCAATTTTTTTTATTGCTCTTACCGGGTAAAGTTTTTGACCCTTGTCATGTTCATCAAATAAAGAAATTTACTCGATAAACACTTACCAGGTAAGCGTTTAGTAAACAACCCCTTAGTTTAATAAATAACTCTATAAAAACAACTTTTAACATAAAAGGAGAATAGATTATACATGGAATAGAATGAAGAAAGCCGATGTTTCATTGTTTTCTATTAAGTCATGTGTAGATAAAATTGTTAATATAGATTAATCTATTTGTATAGATAGAAAATGTTTTTGACTTTGTTTAGGAAAGTTTTTTTCATAGATGGATGGAGCATATTTTTTAATTAGAAAAGACACATTTGAACAAAAAAAACTTGGTTTTCTGTATAAAGTATAAGCTTACTGAATAAGTTAAAGCTATTACCAAACAATCATGTATAGTTAACCAAATAAGCTCTAAATTTAATTAAACTTAAGTTGTAAACAAGCAAAAATGGGTTGATGACAAATACATTTACAAAAAAGAAAAAGAAAAGATGGTTTCATGTGAATCTGATCCCCAAGATTCATGCCTTTCCATTAAAATTCCAAAAGCTTATCATCAAGTGAGTGTCAAGTTGACTACACACCAACTAAACACTTGTTCAATTGGTCACCAACTCTGGTTTTCCTTTCTTCCTACTATCTACACTTTACACCACTATTGGAACCAATCCCCACTGGTTTAGCCTCATAGTTGGTTTGTAAACTGTAGGGGTGCATATTGCATTGTGTCATGGTGGTTCATTGTCCAACCCACCTGCATATTATTGTAAGTGTTCATATTTCTGTTTTAGTTTGTCCAAAAATAAATGACTTCTGAAAATAAGTTTCTACTTTCCAATCTACCCTTCAATATGAGATCAAAAGATTCATTACTCGTTATTATCAAGGGTATAATCATCATTTAGTTGATTAAAAAATGTAATAATTACATTTTTTCTACAAGTGTGCTGCTTCATCATGAAAGATGGTGAAAAACTTGGATCATTGATTTAATGAAATGATAGTTACCTGTGTCAATCATACAAGTTTTTGCTATCCTCTAGTCTAACAAGAAAGATGGTGTGCTCTTGAGCTATATTATTTAGTATTTACCTGATTGGAGAGCTGATTAACTTGGAAATGCACCTACAGAGCTGTTGAATCCTTAAATATCCCACTTTAAGATCTTGCAATGCTGCTGCTATCTCAATCTTGAGTGATTCAGAACTTTGTGGCTCATCGATTGCAATGTCAATCTGAGATGGAGTGATCTCCGACGGATAGGTACCCCTGTTAAGGTTTGCTTAACCAAGTCAGGAAGCTAAATATTGCAAGCGACATACAAGGGGAAAACTTCAAATAAGAACCATAAATATTTTGTGAACATAGGAAACAACTATTTCATGTATTATTCATGATGAATAATCATGAATATTTTTTATATCATGAATATCCATCACGACATTCATCATGACAAGTATGAATAGTTGGTTCTCAGGTTCTCAGAAGATCCACGGTTCTCATTTGAACCTGCCCCATGACATGTATAGTTCAGCCAGAATAAATTACACAAATAAATAAGCATCAATTTCTAATGTCAAATAATAGACTCGTAGACATAATACACCTTCTCAAACATGAGGTGTCTAAAGTCACTGTTGCCTTCCTGTGATGTTTTGAATCAAAGAAACAGAGCTCCAGTTCAAGTTGTTCAGCTGCAAGTCAAGAAATCAATTTTGAGTTAGTTTGATACTAACGTAAGAGTTTCCTAATGGCTGAATAACAAATTAAAAGAAAATTAAGTAGAAGAGAAGAATATATGATCTTATGGAAAGAGAGAGCGAGTTTATTCTAGCTTTCAGGCCATAGAAGCTCACCAAAGAGTATGGGCAGTTTCAAATGAGGATGACAAAAAATAGATGAAGTACAAACAGTTAAAAAGAATAAAGTGCTTAAATTTGTTTGGCTTCATTTTGGTTATATTTCTCCTATTTCCGACTAAAATGGGGAAATTCTTTTTTGTTTTAAAAAAAGGTTGTAACCACCTTCTTAATCACAGCCCTTGGATCATCTCATCTAACGGTTGAGATTCATCCCCATATTCTCAACTTTTTTGTCATTCTCATCTGAACCTCCCTGCCAACTTTAGCTCACTCTTCAATGATTGAGCTAAACCTCAATGTCAGAGCAATGGAGCTAGGATGCAAGAACACGTAGGTGGATATACATTACCTAGGGGTTTGCAAAATCGTGTAGAAATCAGGTTTTTAAGCTCTATTCTCGCAAGTTGTATCTCGGTCACCACATCTAACAAATTGCCCAAACAAGAGCCAGTCACCTGCAGAAACAGTACGCAGATTAAAAATTTGTAGGTTTATGTTTCAACTTGTTGCCAGAACAAAGAAAATTACACTTACATGATTTTAAGTACATATTACTAATGAGAGCTAAATGATCAGCTTCTTGCTAATTGTTGTCATAGAACATCAAAAATCCCAAGCATCAAAGATTTTGAGCTGAAGAAATCCCAAGTAATGAATATGATTTCACTTTTGTTCGTCTCGTTCGTCTATTTATGTACTTAACCTCAAGATACTTGGGGCCTGTTTCATTTCCTTGTTCCCATTAAGCCATGTATCTATTAAGTTGTCCGTAAATGAATTAAGATAAATTGCAGTTCAATTTTGTCTTGAATAAATAGTCTGAATAACAAAAATTACCATTTTAACCTTTTGTCTATATAAAAATTAATTGTTTGATAACTCTTCTGAATGCCAAACAAATTATGAACTTTTAAAATAACATAAATAATATAAATTCCTCGAGTTCATCACATAATACTTAATAATTAAAATATACTCGAAACAATTCAACATCATTGTCTTGTTACAGTTTTGAATTTATGCATTTGCTAGTAAACTGTAGACAATTTAACTTTAATGAGATGTGGGATAAAAACTTGTAGGGCAAGGGTAATTTTAGAAAAAATCGTAGCTGACCGAGTTAAGCACAACTATTAGTAATTTAGTATTAAGTTGAAATCAAACATCCCCTTACTTGAGTTTCTTGCGCCAAACTTGTAGCACTAACATGCTTCTGCATTATTTCAGTACTGAAGACAAATCTAAATGCAGTGAAAGCATCCATATCTTTAAAAGTCTACATGAAAAAGGATGTAGAATTAGGCAAGTATACGAAAAACTATATGGGGATGTGCATCTACAAATATATCTATTATACCTTGCTGATGTTTACGTTATTTAATGTATGCAAAATGGAAATGCTTGGGACTGGAACAGCATTGACTGTAAGCCTGCAAAACCGATAAATTGGAGATACAATATTTAACAGGAATACGAGCAAAATATACATTTTCAGACAACTGAATCTGGATAATAAGAAAAGAATAAGTGTTCGCAAGGAACCTTTGAGTCATCAGGTTGAGGTAATTGAGAACAACACTGTGGCAACCGTTCTTATTCTCAAGATTGTCCACGGCCCAAAGCTGCAAGTGGGGAGCGAGAATTTGGGAGATAAAGAAAAGTTTATCAACTGAACAGCATCATCTAACAAAATCGCATGCCACTAGTAAATTAAGTAAAAAAAAACCTGCAAATCCTTCCTTATCATCTGGCAGCATGCTTGCTTCATCAGATAATTATTGACAAATGTAATAGTGCCCGTGGAACTGGGTTCTCCTTTAATTTTACATGACTTGTGAAAAGATTTGGTCATCGTTGCAATTCTTCCATCAATATGATCTATTGCCTGTTCCATTGAAGTCACGTTGTCACTGTCACTTTGGCTCTGCACAGGCCAAATACAGGGTAAGCAACCAAACTTTTTTTCTTCTGTCTAAAAACTCGCAGTTCACAATATTTACACGAGTTCAAAAGAAATAACAAAACGGAGATGCAATGGCTTGTTAGTATAACATGCTTTAGAGATATAGAAATGCAATAAATCTGATTTCAATAAGGTCAGTATGGGTTGCATGTGAAACTAGTGTCTTAATAAATTTGCACTCATATAACAGTGTAAATGACCACTTTAATATCTAGGAAAAAATATATATGGAGTGTGATTAGCATTTGGAAGCATTATGTTTCTAAACAACTAAAAACTTACGAAATGAGAAAAAGAAACAATCAGTTGGCAGAAGTTCTACAACTGAAAGATTGAAACATATTTAATTGCCATAGTATTTAAGCTATACTCAGCATCTCATTTCTAATTGCTTGACACCACCTCACGTCATCCCAAAACAGGCATCTAGTGATACAGAAATATATTAATGCAAGAAGGGAAACTGAAAACAAATTGCATGAGCAAATATAATCCATACAGTAACAGTTCGGCACAAGACAGATAGATGAATATTTATTTTGACACCAAAAAAAATAACTTCTTCAATAAATATACACAAACTAGCAGTTTTCCCCTAGTATTTGGATTCTATGAAATCAAATTTCAGAATAAGGCTGTGAACTTCAACAACCCATGCGAAACTGACATGTCAGTTAATAGTTATCCAATGTACTTTGGGTACTGCAAATATTCTAAAAAAATCCATTATGTTCTGAAAGAGATGTAAAAGATACTTGTGGTGCTCAGGAATAAAAAATGATAGGATTAATTATTATATTAGAGCTAGATGCCCACATATTTCACTAAAGAGTTTGTTTATTAGCAGCTTAACGAGCTTAACAGGAATTACAGCTTATGCAGTCGGCTATACATGACTATCTGGTAATGGCTTAATGATATAGAAAGGGGTTTATTCATTAAGCTTATAGGGGGAGCTTTATGCAGAAAGCCAAGTTTTTTTCCAAACATACCCTTCCCAGTTAAAAAATATGCTCCTATTTATGTAAAAACCCTCCCACACAAAGAGGGAAAACCAATCAAACAGCCCTAAGAATAGGATTAATTAGTAAATTAAAGCTAGATTTCCACACATTTTACAAAGGCACATTCTGTATACCAAGGGGTTGAAGAGGGGGGAAGATTTGGGTCTGGTACCTCTTGAAGGTCCTTCATATTGACTGACAAGGACTCGCAATGAACATCTGCAGATTCTTGTGATGGAACATTTAACCTATATACTTCAGACTCCATTATTCCAGAGGCAAGTGATTTCACCCTTCTCTACACAATAAACAGAATCAAGAAGGGTTATAGAAGAAAGACATTTGTAAAGCTAGATAAATGAGAGTACTAAATACCAGTAACCTCTCCCGCTTCACATGCAGTAGCTGCAACTTTGCTTTCTCATGCACAAATTGGCACAAGAGCATTTTCATTTCTGGGGCTCTGCATTTCCCATTTGTTATCATTCATACTGAAGTTCAGGACATGCAGAAAGGAACTCGACATCACAAGAGAAGCAGTGATATTACCTGTTATCTCGAATATACTTACTGGCATCTACACTCTTCTGTATATATCAAAAAATGATCTTAGTTTTAGCAGGTAACAAACTAGTTGCAAATATGATAATCAACCACAATGTCAAAATAAATCTATTAGCTTTCTAACCTGAGACTGGATTTCTTCAGAGAAAAGCTGATATGTTTTTGACCTCAGAAGCTGCTCAACAATGCCTGTCAAACGATCAATCTGCATAAACAAACTAAATATCAACAGAAATGGATGAAAGCAACTTCAGCAGCAATTATCGTACAGCCAAGACAATTACTTTCGTGAACCATGTTTAACCTTATTTTACTAAGCCAAAAGTTGTAGAACAGAATATAATAGGATAAAGAATCATACCGAATGCAAACTAAACTTATCAACTGATTGAGATAGAAGTTCCCTCATTTCTTTAGAGAGTATTGCATTTATCTGCAAAACAGAATCGCAAATAAAAATTAACTCAAACCTGAAAATCGGTCTCTTACTTAAGGTGGCTTTTCCTCTCTGAGCATGAAAAGCCATGCAAGAATTAACAACAAAGAGAAGCAGCTAACAACATACCTCAGTTGGATGTTTAAGATTGTGCCTAATCGTCGATATCCTATTGTCACTTGAGAGTTCAGGGCCTACATAACCTCTTCCGAGATTTGGACTCCTATGAGTTCTAGCAGTTTTCTCAACCATCCCAGCATCAGCTTCTGTTTGCCGGTCAGAGATTACATCTCCAATGGATAAACGATGGGGACTGGGAGACGGCACATTTTCCTCCATTTGAGAATCAACATTGTCATCATGCAACACATTGTATGGTGTTTTACTCGGGGGACTTTGACAAAACTGATCATGCAAATTCTGAACACCATATACTACAAGAATCAGACTAACTTCAACAATTATAAGTGCTTGGTGCATTTCATCAAGTTAAAAAAAAAAGCCCAGACTAACCACTTCCAAATTGTAAAGGTAACAGACTTTGCATAGTCGAATTACGGCATAAAATACTGCATGGAATGATAGGATGACTCAATGCAACACCCTTGCATGACTATATAATTGCTGAACTTCTTAATGCTTGTGAGAGTGCTTAGTAAAAAAACAATGGGCACTGACCTTCTGACAAGATTGTTTATCTGTTCCTTCATGCAAAGCCAGAGAGGGTCTTTTCACCTCTCCCCTGGCAATTTCACTTCCCGTAAAGTTACGTTGAAACTTCTCACGTTCTACGTCCTTCAATAAGGTTGTGGAGTTCTCTTTCATTTCTGAATTAAAACGAACATCATTAAGAAAAACCTCTCTGCTATCCACCATTTCCTTTTCAATGGAGATTATTGGACTAGATTTTTCTATCTCCTCAATGTACAAGGCATCCGTCCGATCGGCATCCGTCCGATCAGCAGCCGTAGTAGAAAGGCTTGCATTAGTGACATTTTCCTTTTCCCCTGACCCTGCAACATGACTTGGCACAAGCTTTACTGGCTCATTATGCTTGGTAAATTGTTTTGCATCTCTCAAAGGACTGCTTTTGAATTCTGATGCATTCACAATCTTTAACTTTTTCTGTGGAGAATAACCTAAATTTTGAGGTAAACTAACTTCGCTTTTATTATCTTTATAACCATATATGATATCTGCCGATGACAAGAGATCAGTCGGCAACTTTTCTTTAAACCATGTGCTTTCAGATGGTATCAACATCGGTGATGCAACATTGACAAAATTTCGCATATGAGTCGCAGAGACACCATTCTTTGGTGTCTCTAACCCAATATCATCCATGTTTATTAAACTTACTCTTTCTCTCTTCTTCTGAGCAGCAGATGATGATTGCATGATATCATTCATACGATTGAGTAGGAGAGGTTTGTCGTTTTTCCCCAACAAAGTATACAAAGGAGTCATCTTAGATGGGCAAACTACGGATCTTTTTTTCGTTGAATCTTCAAGTCTAGCATTCAAAGCAGCAGAAAAGGGAGAAGCCTCGAGCATTCTGAGTTTAGAAATGCTTTTCTGCATGGATGCAACACTCCCACCATGTTTCGAAAGTTCTGTTCTTACAAAAACACTTGAACGATTATAGGAAGAAGTCACAGCCGATGGTGATTTAGATGGACTAACGCCATGTAAACGTATGTGACTTGGCTTATCAGTTAAAGAGTTAACTGACCGTACAAAAGGTGATTTCTCTTCCTTTCCTATAACATCACCTAAATAAATTGTGTTTTTAGGATTATGATTCCCTTGACTGGTAGCAGAGAAGTCCAAACTTGACTTTATCTGAAATGCATCTTTGACAAGATCCTTGGTCATGGCAATAGGGGTAGCCTACAATGAATCAGAACTTCAAAAGTAAGGGAAATAACCAAATACATTTGATGGAGCCATTCAGCAGGAAACTTAAATTATATAATGAGATCCCAACATTTGACATTCTGGGGTGTAGTCGTAGACATGAATGAGATGGGGCTGCATCATTCAGCCATAAAGCAGCCCCATTTGCCCCTCACTGTACATGTCATTTTGGCAAGCATATCATAAAAACGAGAGAAGGTGATAAAGGGAGAGCAGGCCACACTGCAAGAAGCAAGAATTCACAAGCTAACATTCAGGGATAAACAAGCAAAAGGATGAAATTAATAGCGATAAAAAATGAATTTCATATCTCATTGGTTGCAGGTCCTTACCAAAATAGATGAACCAACCAACAAAGATTTAGAAATCTCAGCGTCGGATGTGTGGGAATATACACCTAATGCAATCTGCTTGCTAGGAGAAAATTTCGATCCATCATTGGCCACACCAAGCCCATTATGCTCAAAAGAAACAATTTCATTGACCATATCATGAGTAATATTCCCTTCCTTATCTTTGTCACAACTAAAATCCATGAAATTAGCCCCGTCTTCCTTGGTTGTTTCAGTGTTTCTTGGTGATTTTAAGATAGAATCATTAGAAGGGGCAATCACATGGAGGTCCTTATTGCCTTCTGCCAAGAGTGCATCCGATGTAGGAGAGAGTTCTCCATAGTCATACTTGTAATGATATTCTCCATCAATACTCATATCATTCGACTCAGAACAAGTGCTTGATTTGGAGGTAGAATCAGAAGGCTGATAATTTGGCTTCTTAGCTAGTGTCATTCGCATTGGAGTTCCTGTATTTGTGGGAATGAAATCCTGAGTTGGGGTCTTCTCCTCGAAGGAAAGGTGAACCCCTGTTGAGGTCTTCAATTCTGCTTCTGAGTCCGACCTAGCAAGGCTACGAAAATGCATTGAAAAGGCTGTTGAATCCATAGTTTGATCATGATTTCCATCTGAGCCAGCAGAGTCCAGTATATCTCGTCTAATGAAACTTGCCGATACAGGACCAAAAAAATTATCTTCTGCAAACAGAAAATTATTCCGGAAAAAGAAAGTTAGCAGGATTTTGAACTGAAGTAGAGAAGATACTGGATTTTTGAACTAAAAGAGAGATGATAAACAAGAAGTCATGATGAACACAATTACCTCATCAATGATGCTAATGATATCAATAATCTACGCAAACAAATTACTATCTTCAAGGTGTGTTATCGTTTCCCATAAGCAGAAAAAGACACAATAGGACCAATTTGATACCCTTCCTAACCTTAAAAATAACTACAAAAAACCCAAAACTAAATAGCGGATTTCACAGTGCAATTTGATATCGAAATAGCAGATACAGTCAAATAACGACCAAGCATACCGCAAATAATGGTACCGCGACATTCCACCATGATTTTGCAAGTTTGTAGCGGCCCGACCACCGCCATTCTGCCCAATTGACTGCCCAGTATGGAGGAAACAAATTTTTAGCCACAACTCATAACACGGTCCTCTATATAGCTCTCCTGGTTTCATCCATTCCATGGGAAGACATCTGCATGGACACCGTGCTAGGCCTTCTAAGAACCCATGGATTTATAATGTAAAATATGTCACAAGGGGACGCCTACACAGCATTCCAATGTCCATTACTTCCAATCAAGGCAACAAGTTTTTAGCCCATTTTTGGCCAACATTATGGTGGTATTGAAGAACTCAGTTTCAGCAGTACCACTTAGTCGGATTGAAAAATAGAGGTGGTCAATAGAACATTGGCAAATACGATCTGCTTCATATGTGGGCAAAAGCCAAAAATGTGAAATGCAACCTTAGCTCATGCCTAATTTGCCTACAATAGTGTTATATATAGCTCAATTGAAGCCACACCTCTTTCAAGTGTTTATAAGCACACACCAAATCCAATCGGCATTGGTGAACTTAGTAGACTTGCCAGGAAAGACTAACAACAATGCTAATAAGCTGGTAGAAAACATGCAACAGACTCATGAAGAGGTTAACAGAAAATTGTGGAGTCAAATGCCAAGTACATAGCAGTAGTAGAAAAATACCAACATTTGAAGACATTTAAAGGTAGGAAGGACTTGAGGGTGTACTTATGGAAGAAACGGTTCCCAATAGGGATGTACAGGCTAACCCAAAAGAAGCATGGTCCTCACAAGTGATTCAAAAGATTAATGAATAACGATAATGCATATGTGGTTGACCTCCCTAACTCCTTTTCCATCTATAAGAGATCCAATATAGCAAATACATGCAAAAATTACCCATCTAGGGAGATTGTCTATCCTGGGAACTCAGGGCAAGTTCTTCTCCAGTTGGAAAACACACAAACTTCAAACTGATGTAACTATGGACTCAGAAGAAGTTATGGAGCCTATGAGGCTATGATCAACCAATAAAAAGGTCTCAACAAGCCAAACGCCCGAGGAAACCAACTTGGCCCAACCGCTGGGCCATAAAATTCATCATCTGGGGATTCAGGTTTTCTTAAAATTTCAAGTTTTTTTGGTTTTATTTTATTTCTTTTTTATGTAAATCTCATGAAGCCAGGGCTTCCCTTAATCACCCTCTATCTTAGAAAACAAATGTCGTTTGTTGTAGGTTTAAAATTTGAATTTTTGGGCAAACCTGTCAAAAAAAGAACCATGTTATGTAATTGATCCTATATGTAACCTTAAAAACTATTCAGCAATAATATCATTTTTTGCTAACAGCTTGTGTTATGTACTCGTGTGCTTCAGTTCTGCATCGTCATCATACAGTCTATTTTGGACTACCAAGATCTCTTGCTTAACCCTTCATCAAACAAAGTCCACACTTTTTACCAAAAATATGTTGGTGATCTTAGTGTCATCAATCGACTTTGGTGTAAATGTGATTTACTTAAGATCGATAAGGTGATAAGCAGAACAAGGTGAGTTAGGAGGTGCGAAGTGCACACTCACAAATGTACTGCCAGAAGGCGGAGGTGAAGGAGGCAGCACCCCTAGCGGTGATCCGAAACCTCTATGAATTTTATGAAGAGAAACGCTTGCCAAAATCCAAGTTTTGGAAAATGGAAATTACAAGTGAAATCAGAAGGTTCTATCTAGACTTAGTCTACAAAGTTGGTCGAAATTTGACTAAGGGGCTGTTTACTAAACTCTTACCAACAATCCATTTTGATGACCGAGAATGTTACACGATAAGGCAAGTGTGGGTGATGTTTCTTGGCGGTAAGCATTTTTTTTTAATTAACATGGATATCCAACCCGCTATGCGAGCCGACTAATCCCAGGGCGACCACCTGCTTTGCAGATAGCCCGGAGTCACCGCATTTGAACCTCCGTGGCCACAAGAGGATTTTTATTCCTCCTTGGATTTGAACCTGGGACCTCCAGGTACTTTTGACCTTTAGAGCCAAGCTCAAACCAATTAGGCACCACCTTGTGGTTGGCGATAAGCATTTGGAAACAGCCCCAAAGTGTTGGATCAGACTTCAGAGCCTATTATCCTTACAATCAGAATTTCTGAAGGCTGAAGGCTGCCTCTGGTCCTTCTGAAGGGCTACTTCTGAGTTTTCTCAGATTCCAAGTCCTATGACCAGAGCCGCTGATGCCTCTGATCGTGGCTCCTCTGGACTCACCTCCGATTGTGGCTCCTCTGGCTTTACCTGTTAAGAGTAACTTTTAAATATTGTTATGGTTGGATTAATTAGTTAGCAGGTTGTAGGAGTTTTAGTTATCTGTTATTTTTCCCGTGTATAAATAGGTTGTCCTAGTCTCATTTTGTACGATTAGAAGTAATCAACATATTTTTCTCTTCCTCAAAATCTCTGTATGTTCACATGATATCAAAGCAATTTTCAGTTCTCGTATCTTGAATCCTCTTTGAATCTTCAGTTCTTATTGTGAAGCTAATCTTTTCATCTTTATTTTCTTCCTGATCATTGAAATCATGTCTTCTAAACGCCTTAATTAAGCATCTGTTGACTGTTGTTGGAAAAAATACAAATGGAAGCAATTCAAATGCTTCAACGTATTCTAATCCATTGTTTTTGAGTCACAATGATAATCCAGGAGCAAGGATTGTATCATAGAAGTTTGATGGTAAACATTGTGGAACCTGGAATTGGAAATGAGCTATGACAATTGCCCTACTAGTCAAGAACAGACTGGGTTTTGTTACCGGAAGAATTAAAGAACCAGCAAAAAATGATCCAACCTATGAAGATTGGGAGAGATGAATTCAATCGTGATTACATGGATCCTAAACGCTGTAACTACATAAATCTCTGAGGGATTGATCTACTATACATTAGCTAAAGCGATCTGGAAACAATTACATCACATGGATCACCATCATATCTGGTACTAATTTTTCAATCACAGAAAGAATTGAATCAAATCGCTCAAGGAAGTCATTTGGTCACTACTTATTACTCTAGATTGAAGAGAGCTTGGGATGCATTTGCATCCATCGATGATTTGCCAGGATGTAATTGTGTGGCTGCTGAAGTTTGGGTGAAACGTCTTGATAGACAGCAACGTATGCAATTTCTCTTACGATTAAAAAATAGCTATGCTTCAACAAGAGGAATGATTTTGCATAAGAAACCTAACCAGTAATTGCAGAAGCATATGCAATGTTGATTCAAGAAGAACAGCAAAGGGAGGTAAATGCACTGATAAAGATGAATGTTAGTGGTGTTGCTATGGTGGCCAATAAAAGTACTTACGCAAATGGAAAAAATCGTTCATGAATCCAGAAATCAAAAAAGAATACTGTGTACAATTACACGAGTTTGTGCCTTAATTTGTGTATGAAATTTCCGGATTATCCCGGTACTAATTTCATGTTAACCTAAGGCATAATTAAGGTCGAAATATATTATTTGGAAAGCGATTCCATATTCAGGATCCAAGAATATATCCAGGGCTCTACAACCGCAACTAACCTAGATTCCCCAACAAAGTAAAATTCTAGTCAACTAGTCAAGTTGAAACGTTAAGCATAAACTTATCCTTAAACATCATTGATATTACAAATGTACGCTTTTCATTTGAAAGAGAATGGTATCGTCTATCTTAAACCAAGTAGAAGCTTATAAATTGGGAATCAGGAAAAAGATGACCAACTAAGCAAGAAGATGACTAGAAGCATGAAAAAGAAACTGACCATCGTTGGAGTTAGCAGAACCAATGGTACTTCCACCAGAGGATGGAGACCCAACCAACCGCAAAAAGGGACTCCTTGATCCGGGTTCATCCATGTCGTCATCCTCGTTATTGTTATCATTATCATCCTCTTCCACATTCCAGAACAACTGGTTTGGTTCATTATTGCGTTCAGCAGAGGCTGGAGAATTAGGAGGCTTGCGATCCAATGGAGTTCCGGAGTCTTCATCACGGTCGAATATGTGAACAGAGGTGTTCTCTGCAAAGCTGACACGGCGAGCCCGCTTCTTGTGGAATGCGATTGTTCCTTCCTCCGATTTTGTATTGGAGTTGTCATCAATGGGCAGCCGGGACGCCATCTGTTGATTCGGAATCTGAGGTTGGAAGCAGGTTGATTCGGTTTCAGGGAGATTTGGGATTTTAGGCTAGGGTTCAGTCCTTGGAGGGAATTCTCTCTTGTGGGAACTTATTACAAATTTTTATGTGTGAGATGTTGCAAACTTTTTCAAATCATTGATTCATTTCAGGTGTGGATAAAAATAATATATTGATTTATTTTAATGTTGCATTTTGAATGTTTGGATAAAGAGTTTATATTCAAACCAGTCATAATGTTGAATTTTACTCATAAACACTTATTCGAGTAAGCGTTTAATAAACGACCCCTAATTATAAATCTTGTTTAAGATTGTTTATGTAGTAATTAAATGTCCTCGTAGAATTCGGCATAAACTCTAAATCCAATATATTTACACTTTTTTTTTTGGCAAACAACATGGCTTATGAGTATATATAATGTAATGTTTATGTACTCAAAATCTCACAATACACTCCATATCATAGTGATATTTGAACTTTATATTGGTTTCGATCCAACCTTTATCAGTTATAATGTCAAAATGCATGATCATGTAACTGGTATTACAAATCATTCTATTTTTAAAATTTTTAATACTGTCAATTATCAGAGACTGTCACATGATTGATTTTTTAACGATCTGGATTTAAAAACAGGCCTTAACAGGTATTTGATCCTTCATGCCAAACTTAACTTTTGATAAATTAAACATGATTTTAACAAAATATGACGTGAAAACACTATTTCATTAGAGGTGTTACAAATCATTTTTTTAGAATTAATATAAAAGAAAATTGTTTGGGTTTATCTATACTATACTATAAAGTATTTGACAAAAAAAATTGAAAGTCATGTTTTATGTATGAAGTATTGTTTAGTGATGCATATTAATTAAAATTCAAGATGACAAATAATTATGCATAAATACAACTTATTAAAGTTTTATGTTTGAATTCTTGTAAATAACGGTAGATAAACATAATCAAATAGAGGACAAACATCTCATGTTAAATATAAAAGTTATAAAATAGAACTAGGATAATCAATAAATTATAACAAAATACTTAATTATTATTTTTATAAAAAATTATATTATTAAACCAAAAATTAAAGAATGAATTAAGAAAATACACAAAAAAATGAGAATTTTTAAATAATTAGTTTAATACTAAGTAGAAAGGTATTTGTGCAATGCATCAAGAGTTCAAGACACATCTTGATTTCAGTGTTTCATTTTATTTCTTTTTTATGTCAATATAATACGGTTTTATGTGGTTTTGAGAAAACGATAATGTTTTTATTTTTTAATAAGATATAAATTTGAAAATATTATAAATTTTTGATAAAAAATATGTCGATATTAGTATCAAATTAATCTTTTTAAAAGTTCTTGTGTTTTGGTGTAATTTTCTTAATTCAAAATTTTTAATTATAATTTAATTTAGATTTAATAACAAAAAAAATTTAATTTAGGTTTAGTAGTATAATTTTTTTATAAAGACTAGAAGTGTACTCGCGCAATGCAGCGAGATACATCGTGATTTTAATATTTCATTTTATTTTTTATCTCAGTCGATTTATAATATGTCTTTATGTGATTTTGAGAAAACGATGATGTTTTTATTTTTGAATAAAATATATGTTTGAAGATATCATAAAATTTTGATAAAAATATATCGATATTAGTATCAAATTAACTATTTGAAATTCCTCATTTTTTTGTGTAATTTTTCAATTCAATTTTTTTATAATTTGATTTATGTACAATAACGAAGTAATTTATATTTGGTTTAATAATATAATTTTTTTATAAAG